ATAAATATAGCAAATATATTGTTGAAATGAAGAAAAAAATAGCCCTACTTTAAGCTTAAAATTAGCACTATTTTAGTAATATCTAAAAAGTAACATCACAGACCCCCACTTTTAATTTTCTTTTCTGAATATATACGATACTTTTAACCATTCTTCTTAAATTCAGTAAAATGTCATTACTTTCAAATGATTTTTTTGCTTGTAAAATTTTAATGCCAGAAAAATGAAAATGTTTGAGTGCAAAAAGGTCAAATAATTGAACATGCGGAGTAATTCGAAAATTTCTTCGTTGTTACAAATTTTAATGTGTCTATTTAAGATAAAATAAGACTGTGTTTGTTCACCATAATTTATTTGAACAAAAAATATTGAAGGAAAAACTTTAAAAATTGATTTATGTGTAAGACATATTTACAGTGCAAAAAGGTCAAACTAAATGCTCTGTAGCGCCAAAAGAAGCGCATTGACCCCCATTTTTTGTTTTGATTTTTAATAAAGCTATGTGTATAAATTCTAAAAATATACTTGATAAAAAATTCTCATTACTTTTGATGGCAGGATCCAACCTCCTTAAGATCGAATTTTGCCTGTCAAGAGGCAAGGGCTATTCCCTGTATATAAAAAAATAGTAGAAGAGGGCTGCTCAATATGTACAAGACTAGTGCATGGAAATATATCGAGAGAGCTGACGAATATGAACGTCATACACTTTAAATTTATGAAAAGTTATTATTATATATCTGACATTTTCCGAAAATAAATAGAAATATACGGAAAAGGGAAACGAAAAAAAGAGATGTACTAAAATAATTTTAAAAAATTAGTATTCCTTCAAATTCTTAAGAATAGGTACAGTTTCAATACAAATCTGGCCCTGCCAAAACAAATCATAAGGCTTTCTGTCAGAGTATGTCACGCCTGTATGTGGCGATACAAAAACCTTGAAAGTGAGTAAGATGCATGAAAAATAATAATAAAATTCAGTATTGACTCTCATAATTGATGTTGTTATATATGAGTACTTGCTGATCAATATGTCTGTCTGTGCACACAGTATAAGTTATTTCTCTAAATTTGCTAAATTGTTGTGTATTCTTTAAACAAAATAACTGGGCGGGTATTGGGGTGTTCGTGGGCTGTGCTGATCAACTGTTATGAAGTAATATGAATACGTAACCTCGGGTAATACTTTATTATATCTTATAGAATATCCCTGCGCTCCTTCGAACTGCATGCATTGGATCGCTATACAACAATCTATAATGTTCCTAGGAAATGCAATGCCGTTGGTTATCACTTTCCATTCTAGATTTGACTCTATCATCCCTGTTTTTGACATTATATGTTATACTCATGTTACTCAAAACATTCAAAATAAATGTTCACTCAGTATCATATGAAGTTAATTTGTATCCTATTATGGCGTTTTGCAAGAATATTAGAATATATCATTTTTCTAGAATTGTATATATACTTATATATATGCAAATCAATTTTAACTTACCCGACATGGCACTCAGTTTAACTGCCTTCTCTTTTTATGTACTAGTATTCATTTATTTTATCGTTCAAACATCGGATAGGCACTTCACAGCTAGGATGTTCCTATTTTGAGTTTGATTTATTTTTAGATTTAAAAAGTCACGAATTTACAAAAAGCGACGGATGAAGTTCGACTGCGATAAAACATTACAGACAAGGATGTTAGTTTTAAAAGATCTACTTCACGACCGATAACTCAGGAAAATTATAGTTATTGTAAATTATCGATTCAAAATTCTTCAAACAGTTATTTCTTTGTTTCAAAGAGGGATTTCAAAATTACTTTATCTCTGGAGAAACAAAGTTAAGATTGTTTTTCCCCTTTTCGCGCGGAAAAGGGGATGTTTCTTTTCGTAAATATAGTAACAAGCAGAAAATTATCTATAAAAAGCATGCAGGGTTGCCAAAAATTTATTTTGTTGGAAAGGAATTCAAATTGTACCTTTAATATCGATTGCACGAAAATTATGCACATTGGAAAAATCATTTATTTGGAGGTTAGGGGGCTGAACATTTATTTTGATAATCAGAATAAATTTCATAGCACATTTCCTTTACAAACCGTGTGTGTGTGTGTGGGGGGGGGGGGGGGTTGCCCCCCTCACTCTGGTTCCTTCTTTGACTGACTCATTGTTGTATATTGGATTCCGCAGCTACCTTGAAATATTCAGCACTTGCATGCATACATGGTGACAATCACCTGTTTTCTGTGTCCAGTGCTTTACATAGACATTGTTAATTCGGACAGCTTGGTCGCGAGCGAAGTTGTCTAGACAATATTGAAGCCCTTGTCGGGATTAAAAATAAATAATTAAATTAAATTAAATTAAAAAAAAAAACTTTCTACAATGTTATAAAAGATGCATATTGATTAATTTTTTAAGGATTTAATTAAACTTCTCACTGATTAACCCAAATCAACTGAAACATAATCTTATGTTTTTTTTTAAATAAAAGAAGTAAACAAACACCTTTTAAATATTACACGTGTATACATATATATGTAGCTATGCATATATAATAGATAAATATTACATAATATTACATAAAGTTTACAACACGTCAAAGCTAGTGAAAATATAGTAATTGAACACTCGCATCATGTCGGGGGGGGGGGATGGGGGGGCTGAAATTTGCAGAGTATATACTGAAGCAAATAAAAAGGATTTTGGACCCCCCCCCCCCCTAGAAAAAGTGGACCCCACCACCACAACAACTTTCACATTTGGGAAATGCATTTTTTTTTTGGCTTGACAAGAAATTTCTGGGTTGGATTTTTTTTACTTGGACCCCCCCCCCCCGGAATATTTCCTGGATCCTGCGCATACGATAAATGTTAAACAGAAATAAATATAATCACGTGAATCGCCACTAACTTCGAATTCTGTATCTACCGTAAAATTTATTTTGAAATATACATGTAACTCCAACATATACGAACTTAGCTACTTATTTACTTAGTCCTCTTCGCCCCTACAGGGATATAGCATCTCGACAAACAGTTAATTCGTCTCTGTCTTGGCCTGCATGTTTCTCTTCTTTCCGGGACAATCGAATGGATCTTAACTTGATCCACCTCTAGGATCGTCGACAAGGAATAAGAAGTAGTACTCATGTCGCCCGCGTGGTGAAGTGGTCATAGTGTTTGCTCTAGTGTCACTAGAATAAGTTGATCCTAAATGCACGGCCGTACGAACCGGGGGCATGGGGGCCGTGCCCCCCCCCCCCCCCAATAATTTTGCCGATATATAGAATACTATAGAAAACATAACTACTATATGCTTGTGCCCCCTCAATAATAACGTCTCATGACCCCCCCTTTTTTTTGCTTGTAAAGGGAGTGGATAGTGGGGAGTTTGGTAGTGGATAGTGCCCCCTCCCCCAACTGAAAATGTATGATTGTGCCCCCTCAAAGTGAAATTGTCGCGCCTTCGAATCCACTGTGTGACGTTGAGACGGGTACTTCGGATGAGACCGTAGAAACTGAGGTCCCGTGTCGCAGTAGGTGCTGGCACAAAAGAGGTCCCTCACTGCTCGATGGCCGTAAGTACCAAGTATATATCTAACTTTGCAGCTAGACCTCCACCGGCAAGTGGTGGCATCCCATTATATTACGGAAAAATTCTCGAAGGGACGTTAACAATTCCATTCTAGTTCTTATGTGATATTATTTCGTGGTCTTCGAAGCCTACATATAGTATGGCCAGTCCAACGCCATTATTTTTTCGTTGTCTGATTTCTGCTACGTAAGGGTGCATGGCTGCTTCTTCTCCATAGTTCTGTGTTGACAGTTATTTCAGCTAGGCCCTCTAATTCTCAGAATTTTGTGGAGACGCTTATTTATATACTGTACGTGTACATAAATTGGCGTATTCAAAATTTAGCGCAATCACTAGGTATGGAGTTGTTAGCGTATTATCATGAATTAGCGCTATACATCTCCGTGTCGTATATTGTATTTATAAATGATTTCATAGCGGTATTCATGAACTAGCACATCGTTGTCTGCACCAAAGCCGCTAAAATACGAAGCCCGCTTTTTTAAGTACACATACAGTAATTATGAACACTTGGAGGCTGTTTTCTCTCTGTTTCGTCTGTGTCCAAGGTTCTGATCTTTTAGGAGGACTGATTTTAAATTTGTCTCAAATAATTTTAGTTTAGTCTTTAAACTGATGCTTCTGTTTATCCAAATGATTTTAATTAATGTAACAAATGCATGTGTGTTCTATAATTGTACACCCAATACTTTATAATGTGTATATTTGTGTAACATTCTGTGATATCCCGATGAGTTGTACATCTCAAGGGCAATAAAGAAATGAAACTGAAAAATTGTCTTGTCTTAATTTGCCATTACCAATTTTACCATCTCTTCCTCCAATGCTTCCCAGATGTACCTGTCCTCGTCAATGCATCTGCTTTCCAAGGTGAGAGTACGTGGAGTCTGTTGCCTGTTGATTCTTTGGGTCTTTGTTTCTAGCCTTGTTGATTTTGCAACTGTGCGAAGTGACTTTTTTTGGGGAGTGGGGGTGGGGTGGGGGGTATGCTGAAATGGTGAGTTACCAGTTCCAGACGATCTGCGAAAAGGAGGTCTTCCAGTTGTTAGTTTTTATTCTCTCCAAGCCTATAGCTACATGTATTATATAAAGACAAAGTCATGACTCAACAGTGTTTTATCTTCATCATGAAGGAATATTCAATGTTGTAATTACAAATAGAAACTGAAAATAAATTGCTTTTACATAAACTCTTTTCACAAACATTAAATTTCATGAGTAAAAAGTTTGTTTTTTGTTTGAGTGGAAGTTGACGGTAGTTTGTTAAGAGGGGAGAGACCGTCTGCACCCTAACGGACACTTACCGGATTTGTAAAGGTTTTATCGATAAAATTTTAATTTTAGCGTGTAAGCACTGTTTCCTATAAATTTAATTCGGCGTGAATTTTGTAGTGGTGACTATTTTTCAATTTAAGGCATTTTTGTTAATGTCCATTCAGTGATGTTTTAATCGAGCGGTGTTCCACATTATACAGCATGTTAACATTGGTATGATAAGAAGATTTATCAAAAAACTGTGGGGTTCTATTCCTAAGATGAGTGAAACGGTAACAGCTCCCCACATGGTATGTTTACATCTGCACACTGCGTGTATAACAGTTACGAAATGGTCAAATCAATTAGGTTTCCTTATTTCTTTATATAGAAGTCATTACAAAATGATTTAGGGTGACAAGGATTGAAATACTGAATACGTTCTGTGTTATCCCTGTATTATTTTTCGGCAATGGCATATAAGGCCAAAAAAAAAAAAAAAAAAATACAAAATAGTCTTGTTTCCTGCTACCAGCCTGAAAAAAGTAGGGTAGGTATTTAGGTAGAAAAATTATTTTATTTTTTATTTTATTTTTTTCCGACAACATTTTTTTTTATATGAACTAATAAAAGATCAAATTAAACATGTCAAAGGTCCATATTGTCTTTTAAAATTAAATTTCATGTCTTTTGATGCACAGCTCAAGTGGTATTTTATGAAAGTCCATATTTAGAATAGATAATTTCCTGAAATGCTTGTTTTGTGTTAACACAGAAACAGTGATAGAATGACGAAATTTTGGAAATTCCCAATTTTTTTCTTCCAAAACAAAAAAAAACTTTAGGGTCGGGCACAAAAAAATAGGGTTGGTTGGATAGCAGGAAACAGGACTATTATTTTTTTGGCCTAATATTATCTACCGCTACATTCACTTCATTTAAATATAAAGTTAGAAACATTTTAGGATTATTTCTTTTAGAAAATTTAATGGTCAGTAGAAGTGGAAATCTAGTTGACTATACTTTTTGACCATCCTTAAGGATGAGCTAGTACTTGTGCCCCACACAGATTTGGATCCTCTTCACACCTGCCACTGATAGTTGAAATTCTGAACCAACAAAATGAAAAGTACATAAAAATATATATAGAAATTATTATGATTATAGCAAAAAAAAAAAAAAAAAAAAAAAAATTAATTATTATTTATGTCTAGAAAAGAAAATCTGAAGATGAATCAGAATCCAGACAAAAGAAAGTGAAAACCATTAAAAAGGTAATGTTATTGATTTTAATGCATGAAACACTAAATATGACTGCAAATAAATATTTCAGTGTATATATAATATAAACCATTAATGTATAACAGTCAATCATATTTAAGATGACAAATGTTGTATCTCCACAGGAACCTGTTCCACAGATGCAAGGGAATCCCAATACTAAGAGAAAGGTAGCAGTTTTGATTGCTTACAATGGAAAAGGATACCATGGAATTCAAAGGTATAAATGATAAAATTATGGGTAGTATTTTTATTAATACAGATAACATATTGTTTGTCAAAGGAATATATAAAACAAATTATTATTTACTGTGCAGATGTTGAAGGAATAATTATATTTACATGAATTCAAACACCTGTAATTAGTGCTGAAGGAAAAATAACCAAAATTATGTCCCATTGGGTACAAGTTGATCATCACTGACATTAAAGCTTGATTTAATAGCTTCTCTAAAATAATTGGGTAATAGTACCTGTTTTAACATGGAAATTACAGAGGGTATTTCACAGTTAAATACACATTACTCAGGGGATGTGCTGTCAGATATAGTGATTTTTATTGAGCCCCACTATTTAACAATTCAGTAACCAATTTCTTACAGCCTCTTTTGATGTGTCATTTTTCAACATAGTAATGTAATTTGATTTTGTTTATGTTCTTTTCAATTGTAATTGTATAAATGACTTTAATCTTTAACATGAACAATCCTTGACATCAGTGCATTTCATGCTCATTGGTATTAATGTGCAGTCTTTGATAAACAGAGAATACATTGTATTACATATTAAAATCCATATCATACACTGTGTTAGCCCAAGAGGCCCTTATATCGGTCCAAGGGCCGAAGGCCTGAGAATTGATATTATTGGCCCTGAGTGCCAATATATCATATGACATGGATTTTAGTTAGTAGAATTTTATTCGTCATATATTTAAAATATTTGTTATTTGAGTTCACTTTAAAGTCACTTAAGTATGTTTGGTGCATACATGTATATTGTCAAGTAAACTCTTTCTTTAAAATGAAATACAGCAAATTACAAGTCATTTTAAGAATTTATTTTAAAAAGTGAAAAATTTGATATATGAATTGCTCTAGACATATATTTCATTAAATTCTATGAACTTTGGATTCCTGAATTCCAGAAACCCACCATATCCCTCTATAGAGGAGGAATTACTGAAGGCACTACTTAAGGTTGGAGCCATAACACAGGACCATTATGATAAACCTGGTGCAGTAAGTAATATGATAATGTATAACAGTGTATATGATTGTGATAGGATACATGATTATAAAGGACAGATTGTATTCACCAGTGTTAGGAGTAAAACCTCTACTTTTGTGTGATTGTATCATATAGTATAGTTGAAGTGAGAAGAAATTAACGTGAAGCTATTTTTTTATTTTTAGAAGACATGTCAAAAAAATGTAAAATCATCACAGTGTAATAGTTCTTCTTACAACATACCTCAGAGCTTGTTTAATGTGGAATTTAGAAAATATTGACCAAACTATTTATGTATAGAAGTGTGAAACAAAATAACTGCTGGACACAACAAAAACAATACAGTGCATGTTAGACAAAAGAAAAACACCTACCGTACATTTATGTGTAAACATTTAACAATCAAAAACATAAAAATCCCATGACCTTCAAATAACCTTGATTTAGGATCACAATGCATTCACAAAACATAAGCAAGCTGCAACCTTGGTTTCAATAATGACCCACTGCTCAATTACAAAAGCATAAATGGAAATTAACAATCCCTGTGACCTTGAACTTATTCAATAACCTTTGTTCACAATAATGGCACCCTCTGATAATAAGCGTCCTTGGTGCTAAGTATGAGCTTTCATTTTATTGGAGATCTACATGTATATATAAAAAGTACATAGGTCCTGGATTATATTGATGAGACAAACAATTTTTGCTTAGATGACATTTGTTCAAGGTCTTGTAACGTTCTAGTCATAAGCTATCAAATATGAATCAATTCTAAGTTTTTTATGCCCTGCCATGAATATGGCTGGGGCATATAGTATTTCTCATGTCTGTCTTCGGTCGTTCCATCCGTCCTTTCGTCTGTCCTTCTTTTGCACTTTGCGTTAAGCTCAGTTCAAAGCTCTGTTTTAAAAAAACTATTCAAGATATTTTTATCAAACTTCATATGCTGATACATATTGATGAGAGCTATTCAACTGCATCAACATTTTTTGACTTTGACCTTTCCTTTGACCTTGACATCACTTTTCTTAAATTAGTGTTTAGCTCGATTTAAAGAAACCATTCATTTTTTTTTCAAACTTCAGATATGTATTAGTGAAAACTATTCAACTGCATCAAAAACTTTTGACCTTGAACTTTCCTGTGACCTTGACCTCACTTTTCTTGAATTTGCATTTTGCTTAGTTTAAAAGAAACCATTTAATATATTTTTATGTAAGCTTATGCACTTTACATAATTTGGCAAGAATATATTATCTATATTGGTGAGAATTTATCATCTATATCCACTTTTTTAGAACTTTATACACTAATACAAATTTTCATGTTGCATTACTAATATAAACTCAGCGGGGCATTCATGTCTTATGGACATATTTCTAGTTTAAGTTACACTTGGCAGAGAATACGATGGCAATTTAATGTAAATTATTTATAGACATAGTATATGGCTTCAAAATAATGAGCCAATCTTTTTCTTAATCATCTTAAAATTTTTGAAAAATATTCCAAGCAGCCCTAAATATTGAAGACTCTATGATTATTTTGAAGAAGTCTTCCATGACCTTTATCAAACATTTTTATTGCATGATTCTTACAATATATCATTTTTTTCTATGGTTAAATATATAACCCTAAAATGTTTTACTCTTACTAAACAGGCATTATATTGTTACAACATGTTTAGGTCCTCTATAGTTTTGTGTGTTTATTTTTAAGATACATTTCCAGCGAGCAGCAAGAACAGATAAACATGTGTCAGCGGCCAGTAATATCATCTCTCTGAAGATAAGTGTTTTATTTCACGTAAGCCAGCTACATAAGAGATATAAAGAAAACACTCTAAAGCTACTACAGTAAAACTCGCTTAGTACAAACACAGATATTGTGAGTTCATGGATATAACGAAGTTTTCTTGGATCCCCAGCTATATAAATTTTATGAATTCCTTATACGGATATAACTTATTACGGATATAGGGAAGTAATTTCACAGGTCCCCAGGACTTCGCTATAATCGAGTTTAACTGTACATTTTATTAAATAAACCATATATATGTACCACAACATTCATTTTAACATGAGTTATTCCCCTTTCCATTCTGTGCCTTGTGAAAGAGAGCAGTGTAATTTTTTTATTTGACCTTTTTTATTTCATGCATTAATATTATTTAGAGAAAGACTTCTTGTTGCCAATTAATTGGTGATACATAGAGTTTTTTTTTTTTGCATATTTATTTTATATGAAAATTTATGAAATATATTGTTGTTTTCTTTTATTTTTTACATGGTGACAAATGTTGAAAACTTTTTGGAAAAAGTAAACCAGGAACTGCCAAACCAGATAAGAATATTTGGTAAGATTTTAAATTAAGACTATCCAACTCTGTTACTGTGAACAGCAAGGAAGAGTGCAGATAGACAAAGATTTAGTTTAGCGTAGTCATTAGTTCAGATTAGATTTACATGACTATGATTTATTTCAGTAATTAATTGTTATCGTGCTAACTAATTTATCAGTATAACTGCACTGTAAGACAGGATGTACCTATTGACAGGGGTACATTATTGTGGAAATGTCATCACATTCCACATCAAATTTATCTGAGGGTTATTGACCTTTAGGGCACCTGACCTGTGTAATGAACTTAAGTTCCCACTTACCAACCTCCATATACTATTTGTCAATAAAGGTATTTTTCTCTCAGAAGCCCACTAAATGGAATTCTCATTTATTAGTGTAATTTTCAAGTAATGGGACTCCATTTGAAATATGTTACAGTTACTATGAACTTTACAAAGTATTTTATATGTCACTTGTGAAATTAATTACTAGAGATTCCTAAATATATGTGAGGAATTAATTATCACCTTATTTCATGAGAAACACCACTCGCAAAATAGAATTACTCACTTTTATTTTTATGGTGCAAAAGTCCATGTAAAATCTCTTGATCAACTGTGCACTCACATTTATTGTTTTTGCAATTTGACGTTAAAGAGCCATTTTGCGATAATAAGTACTTGCAATAAATAAGGAATCTGCCATATATCAATGATTTTTTAAGAAGTATATTTTAGATAAAGTACTCATATACTATAGGATGATTCAAAATCGCAAAGTAAATTAGGGGTCAGTGTGCATCTTACTGAGCAATGGAACAATAAATTTGACTTTTTTTGCACTTAAATTGTAACTCTTAGGTTAATTACTTTAATCTTTATCATATTATATCAGATGTAATCATAGCAATAAATATACCTAATCTTATTTTATGTAAAATAGTTTGAATAATATGTATCATTGAACGAATCATGCAAATAAATATGCATATATCATTGTGTGACCTTTTTGCACTAAAAAAGTATCATATTTGGGGTATTAAAAATCTAAATAGGCAATAAAATATTTTCTTGTATCAAACTTTTTATGACTTTAGTGCTGATTTGTTGGAAGTACCATGTAGTGTAAGATAATGAAAGAGAAAGTTGGGGTCAGTGATGTAAATTTTGACATATTGGTCAAAATATGCGATTTTCAGGCAGAAAACAGTGTAAATTTTATCTTGACTTCTTTAGTATATTTTCATCTCTTGACAAAGTCTGTTGAATGAATGTAAAATTTGTTCGAAAAATATACATTGAAACATATTTAATATTCCTAGCATATAATAATGCAAAATATTCTCTGAGTAAAAATATGTTGAGCTAAAGTTCCAAAACATGTATATAAATCATGTGTTAATTTTAACAAATGTGTAGATTTGACAGAAGAATTTCCTTGTAAATATCCTTCCACCACAAAAAATAGTCTCCCATAAATCTTGTATCTTTATGACTTTATGAGCAATTTTTAAATTGAATATTCCCATATCAAAAATTAATATGAAAATAATACACACAAAAAAAAAAAACTAAAATAAAATCAAAAAAGTATATATATATTTCTATGACTAAATTTGGAACCCTCATAAATTTGGTTCCAAATTAGGTCAAAAATGATAAACCAGTATACGTCAGACAAAAATATATTTTTAATATACTTTATTTTTTAGCAATAATGCATGTACAAAAATGATAGAGATGATTATAGTTGAAATGTATTATTTTTGTACTTTTGTATTTTTTCTGTATAGTTCTTTCCAAAGTTTAAATATAATACAGTACTTTAAAGAGTATGAAAAAATATATTATTTTTGTATCATATATATTATTTCTTTATTATATTTTTTTATCTGGAAAGAATTAAAAGTGCAAAAAAATAAAATGTGCTAATTTTGTATCAATAATATATAATTGACGTATTTTTTCATCTAGAATTCCTATTCAAAAATACCATAAAAATACAATAATGATAGATAAAAAGTATATTTATAATAAAAGCTAAAAACAATACCAAAAAAAATTATTAAGCTTTAAAAAGTACAAAAATGATAGACAAAAATTATACATTTGAAAATTATGGCGTTGGTGAGGTCCTTCGAAGCAGCTAATGATACTTATTTAAAATTCTTTTACTATAAAAAATATATGTAAATAAAACTGAGTTAAGTCACTTAAAATGTACAAATAGCTAAAAGTAAATAATACGGCCAGGTTACTGATTCAGCTACTTATTAGATAATAGTCTTGGATTTTTTTTCTCTTACATACAGTAGTCACTCTTCAGTTGTCCTCATTTCTAGTTTACGTTTTCCCACTGTCTTTGTACTTATAATGTGAGTTCTGAATTTAAAAATCTACATCTTCTGTCTGCTTTGGTGTTTCTTTTGTATAGCATAGTAAGAAGCCTTTACTTTTCACTTTTCTTGGTTCATAAATGTGATCCTGGATTTTGTATAATTTGCATTGTTTAATTCAAATATGTTATAAAAATTGTATTGTAATGAATAGATTTGAAGTTAGAGGTTCTGACCAAACTTTTCTTGAAAGCTGATGAGTGGCGCACATTAAGTAACATTCTCAGTTTCATGGAAGCAGTAGTACTTTACAAGTCTAGGAAAATATATCATTTATCTACATTCAAAAAATGGTTTAGATCTATTTAATGTATGCCCTTGTGAAAAGACAATTTAAAGGGGTACCTTAATGTTACTCATGCTATCCCTGTACACAAAACAAGTTAGAATAAATTCTATATACCGGTACTCTCTCATTAATACTGTAAACCAACTTTTATTCGCAAGCAAGAAATATCTGCGAGTTTTGCGATCTTCTTTTTCTCACGAAAATTTCTCGTCGAGAATGAATTATTCACCTATGTATTTATGTAGAATGTTGCCTCGGTCGCAAAAATTAGTAGTCGCAGATGGATTCTAAACTAAAGAATTGTGAATGAAAAGATGTCGCGAACAATAGTTGGATTACAGTAATAAAATGATAAAGTAATCATACGAAACAAAGGAGATGCATTGGTATGTTCTATTAAACATCTTTAAATAAAAAAAATGAGTTTTTAACTGTGGAAAAGTCACTCGATCCTCCACTCACTGCATGTAAGTGGTGTAAGACTTTTCCATGATGACCTCAAATCAACAAATGCATTGTGATCAGCTACTCTGTATAACTTCCTGTGTGGTATTTAATTAGCAACAAAAAAGAATGCAATGGTATGATTTGATGTAGCTTAATACTGTTATGCAGTTTAAAATATCAAATTTTTTCCTTTTCTGATCTTTTGAGGAAGCTTTATTCTTGCATGGTGTCACAGTTAACATTTCCTGTACAGTGGGTTTCTTAAGAATATTGTGTTTTCAATCCTAAAGAAATGGGTGTGTCATTATTGGACAATCAACGCTTAATATGAAAAACCAAAACCTTCAATTCAAATGAAAAATTTACCACTTCAATGGGCATCATTGTAGAATTAAAAAAAATGAATTAAACTGAGGAACACTGGTATTTCAAATTGAGTCTGAAATATATTAAAAATGAAGAATAATACAAGTGTCTGGTATCATATTAAGTCTGAAGTATAATAACAATAAAAAATAATACAGGTGTTGGGTATTATATTAACTGCTAGTATGTGCTGCAAAACACAGTGCTGTAATCTGATAATTAGATATTTATATTATTATATTTATATTTTATAATTAAACTCTTCATTATGATCAGTCTGTAATTTGTTTGACGTCCGTTGTCATGTGCAGCTTGATAATAAATTAAAGGATATGGAAATGTCCTCAAACTCAGGGTTATATCTGCAAATCCCAGACTTATACTTGATAAGAATTAGTGGCTGTATATTAGCTTGCCTGAGCCAAAAGCTGAGTGAGCTTCTGCTATGGCTTTAGTGAGTTGGGAGATATGTGTGTGTGCATTTAGCACTTTGAGATGATCTCAACTGGGCTCTCACATGACTTTTTCAGACGCAGGGTCCGTAAAAATTTAGAAAATTAGTTATCTTTTTGGGAATTCTGGGATAATCGTTATACATTAAATTCTTGGCATGTTGGGTTTCGGTGTTTGTTATCAAGTTACTTTATGTTTTGAAGTATAGAATAATACGAATAGCAAGTTTATTTATTATATATCTAGCTATATGTTCTTTAGTTCTGGGTGGAAAATCTAATTGGGAAAGTTAACAAATTTGGAAAAAAGGTATAATTTAGGAATTAGGAATGGGGCCTTTGAATGGCCCCAATTACAGAGAATTGGGAGTCTTGCACAATAGCCCTTAGGCTAATATTTATCAAAAATCAAGTTTCATCACAATATTTGCACTTACCGTATATACTCGCCTATAAGTCGGGTTTTCTTTAAGCTTAAATTAGAGGGATTGACCCGCTAAAATACCAATCTTTTTATAACTTGAATATAAGTTGGATAAAGAGTTTGGGACCAAAGTTTAACTCCAAAAAAAACGACTTATAGGCGAGTATATGTGGTACTATAGATAGAGGAATATACTGAAATCACCATATCTGCCCATCTGTCCATAGACTTATTAATGTCCTGAGATTAACCTTGTCAGCAAATACAGTCTATCATTCAGTCAAATGCTGACTGACTTTTTTCATACTACTTGTTAGGCCATTATTTACACACTGAATTGTCGACAGATTTTTCCGTTATTTCCCGATCATGACAAGGAGCACATGGTGGGTGTGATCGGTCAGCAGGGGATGCTCACTCCTCCATGGCACCTGATCCTACCTCTGATGTCTTAGAGGTCCGTGTTTGCTCTGCTCCTATTTTGTAATGTTTAATGGACTTTTGAGCTCAAATACTGTTCGTTATCTCCACATATTTCATCCTTAGATAGTTTACATTCAAGTTTGCTCAATTCATGACACCTGGGGGTAGAGTAGGGCAACAACAGGGGATCAAAGTTTTACCTAGGAATAAATGGGAGAAAAAATCTGCTGATGAAGAACAGCAGGGCCCTTTTGACTCAGGTGAGCATTGTGGCCCATAAGCCTCTTGTTTTGAACATAACCTCTGTGATAGGAATAAGGAGAATAAAATTCCTGTCTGGATATAACTTTGAAATCAAGAAATTTTAGAAGCTTATACATGTACCTTATGTAGCTCATGACCTGAAGTGTTTATTGGCGATGCATCAAGGTCATTTAGACAAGATCATGGCCACAGTGTACAAAAGTAATGAATTATACTTGGACAAGGTCACAGGTTCAAAAGTTTAGAATGATTTCTGTAGCCATTACTTTAATTAAAGTAGAGATATTGATTACTAATGTTTTTGTAATGGAATGACTTTTAAAGATCATACATAGTCTTAAGGTTGCTGTTCATTTATATAAGATATGTCAAAACCAGTAGCAAAGGTCAAAGTCACAGGGTTGAGACTTGTTTCTTGATATGTGACTTTGTATCATTATCAGTAGGTCATACTTCACACAACTATAGCCTGAGAGTAAGAAGTCTGTAATGATTAGTAGGTGTGGTTCTTTGTGTAATATCAAGGACACATGACTCAAAAGTGAAATGTTTTGTGGGTATTGACTTGTTAATGCTAGGACTGTGAAAGTCATACATGCACTTGACCTTTGTTAACCAGAGGTTATTTAGAATGCTGGTGCTAAATTGAAAATTTTGATTTTATCAAGGTATCATCTAAGGGTAAAAGACAGAGGCCTCAAGGTCACATCAAAACTGACCTAAAGTGATACTTTTTTGAATAATTTTCTGGTACATGAAATTGTGCTATATTAAGTAATTAAAGCAGCTATTCTTTGCCTTTTAAGATTCAGATTTTGGTGATGTTCATGAATTCATGCACTCATGATTGCATCAAAAGGGCGCTTACTAGTCTATTAAAACAACTGATGCCAGTTAATTGATGTTTTTCTTAGGGTTCAAGAGAACAACAAAGGGGTTTGACTGTAAGACGCAGTGTACAGGACGTACGTACATGTATGTTTTACCTACCTACGCTCTGGCTCCAGAAGGAATGGTGAGTACTTGTATCTTCATCCACTTGTGCTTTGCCTCCAGAAGGAATGGTTAGTACATGTGTGTTTTACCAACCTATGCTTTGGCTCCAGGAAAATGAGTACATGTATGTGGTAACCACAAATGCTTTGGCTCCAGAATGAAAAAGGTGATTGACCTACAAACCTGTTGACTGGTCACACCCATGATCAGGTAGACAGAATATACTGTAGTCAAATTTAATAAAAAAATTAAAGGTTTAAGAATAGGTATGAAATATGTCAGTCAGTAGGTTATATTTGCTAAGAAGATCATTATAAAGACTATAGAATTTACAAAATGCTTACTTTAAACAAGGTTGTTGAAATCCCTGTAACATCAACTTATCTGCCAGTAGCCTGCCTCGATTTAAAAATTGATTGTAATCTGAGCATGCTCTTAATTATGTATGAAATCAGTTGGGAGACATATGCAGGTGATAGTGGAGTATTACTATATGTATAAATAAGGAAAGTTGACGATGGAAAACTGAATTCATGTTAAGTACATATATTTTGTATCCACCTACATTTTGGCTTCCAAAGAAATGGCAAGTTTTTTCAATGGAGTGCTTGAAAAAAATATTTTGAGGTTTTGTTCATCTCCTCCTTAAGTTTAATCTCTTTCATAAGATTGTAATGAAGACAAGAGAAAATCAGCTATTGAGAGTATCTGTTGTGGAAATCATTTGCAGAATACATGTATTATTTATAACTGACCAAAATGATTATAAAGACAGGTTTTTAAAATACACTAATTCAACATATGGAAATATTGTTTATAGTTTTATTATTTTTTATTTTCAATTTATGAAGAAATAATTAATATATATTAGCAGACTACTTCTATTTATACACACTATATTTTTCATGTTCAGATATTTATTCAAAGAGTTCATTAAATAGAGCAAAACAATTTAGATAAAAAACAGATAAATTAATTAAAACAGAAATTTTCAAGCAAATAATTAACAAAATTTTTTCAAACTAAATTCAAAATGTGAATGATAATTGTTTGTGGAAGAAAGCACACATTAAGCATGTACAGTGAAACTTGTCTAATCTGGATGTTGTGTATTCCTAAATCTTGCCTAATATGATATATTTTAAGTCCCTTTCAGTAAATTCTTTTGTTTAAAATGTTGTTTAATCCAGAATGTTGTCTAATCTGGCCAATTTCTAGGAACCGTTGATTTCTGGATTAGAAAGTTTCACTGTATAAAAAAATATTTATTTTTTAAAAAATAAACAACAAAAAAACTAATTGTTCTTACTGTTTACAGAAAATATCAGAGGAATACAGAATAACAGGTAATGCAATAACAGTGCATTCTGTGTGTCTATCCTACAACACTGTAACATCTATGTGTCTATCATACAACAGTATAACCTATGTGTGTCTATCATACAACAGTATAACATCTATGTGTCTATCATACAACAGTATAACTTCTGTGTGTCTATCATACAATAGTATAACCTCTGTGGGTCTATCATACAACAGTATAACATCTGTGTGTCTATCTTACAACAGTATAACACCTGTGTGTCTATCATACAACAGTATAACCTCTTGTGTCTATCCTACAACAGTATAACCTCTGTGTGTCTATCCTACAACAGTATAACATCCATGTGTCTATCATACAACAGTATCTGTGTGTCTATCTTACAACAGTATAAGATCTGTGTGTCTATCCTACAACAGTATAACCTCTGTGTGTCTATCATATAACAGTATAACATCTGCCTGTCTATCATACAACAGTATAACACCTGTGTGTCTATCATACAGCAGTATAACATCTGTGTGTCTATCATACAACAGTATAACCTCTGTATGTCTATCATACAACAGTATAACACCTGTGTGTCTATCATACACCATAACTATAACTTTAAGATGGGTGTCAGATACTGTAATGTAAAATTTTGTTTTATCTTTGCAGTTATAGCTGGTAGTACCTCAGCTAAATTATGGCAGAAACAAACTGTTTTTTCTAGGCCTTATTGAAATTTTGATTGGTATGAAACTTCCTAACAGATAATGTTCATTGAGATGTGTTTTACAATCTCTGATTATCTTTGTTTTGTTTCATACTCCTAGATGAAATTCTGGTACATGCAAATGATGTTCTGAAATTATACCAAGGAACCCACAACTTTCACAATTTTACATCAGGAATGTAAGTATCACAGTATTCTTAAAGGAAAACATCTAGAATTTCATTTGTGGACATCTTATTAATGGTTTTAAACTTATTCTTTTAGACATTTGCACATTAAAATGAATAAAAGTGTAAAAAAAAAAATTAAATGTAATTTCAATAATTTTTTTTCAGAAAACCCACTGAACAAAAGGCCAAGAGATACATTATATCGTTTGAGGTAAGTTGTATGTTTTAGGGAAATGAACTTCCATTGAATCCATATTTTGGAGAACATAATCTGTGAAAGAATTGCTATGTTGTTGTGTATACAGTTAAATATAGTTATAAATGTTAAGTGCATCAACAAAGAAAAAAAAAATTAAGAGAGTGAATATTGAATTCATTGTGGCAGACTTATTTGTTTTTCTATCCATAAATTTACTAAACTAATTTTACTTGTCCAGCTGAAATGCCTTCTAAATTAATATAGAGTGTGACATTTTATATATTTTTTTTATGAAAAAAATTAGAGAATGTGTGAATTATACCTGAAAAATGTACAAAGCAATAATTTTCATTTGTTATCACACAACCTGTCTGATTAAGAGTGCATATATACTTATAAATCAATTTTTAGCTCACCTGAACCAAATACTGAAGTGAGACAGTCTCTATTTGACTGTCTCTCCGCCTATCTGTTTTCAGTTTTTAACCTTTGCACATTTTTGGCATTTTTATAACCCCCACCCCCCTTGCAAACAAAGATGATTCATGATTGTACTGGCCCAAATATTCGGGCCAGTACAGAAAAATTCTGTAACATATTTAATTAAAATCGTTTCCACAAGGCTTTTTTTGAAAGCCCTACATTCACTTTGTATGGGACCACTGTTTGCTGTACCATGTATGTAATGTCATTGGAATACCTCAAGAATTTTTAAAATGTATAAATCAATATGTATTCAATTTTCAGAGAAAATGCCATTGCTAGTCCTGTATGCAGTGCTTGTTTTTGTTGGGGCAGATCTGCTCATGTACAATATTAAGAGACAGAGAGTGCCAGACATGATAATTTCTCTTAATTTAAAATTAAGGCAAATTTTAGGTCACAATGAGTCATATAAGTGACTTTTATAATTTGTGTTGATCCAAATTAATCTGAATGTATTCTACTCCTCAAAAAACCTCCAGGCCAATCGAATTCCTGAATATTTGTCAGGAAGTTGAAAGATCCTTAATTATGGGTCATGCCTATTTTCAAAGGCATATCAACAAAAATTGGAGAAAATAGCATGACATCTGTTCTAGAACCACAAGTCTAGATTGGAATAAAATTATTTATTAAAACATCATTATTTATTGTATTGACTTTTAGAATCAGTTTCATTACATCTTGGCCACTTATGGCAAGTTCAGGCCATAATTTTATTGTAACACTGAAATAAAAAAGAAACAAAATAATAATTTGTCAATTTGAAGGCTATGATTTTATAACCTAGAAGTAGTAGGATCTACTAACTGTTAAGAAAGTTCTTTATGGCAAGTTAGAAAAAATATAATACAAAAATAAAGTAAGATAGTATTGTAAAATGTGTCATTTCACTAGGGGATAGACACTGAGAAAAATAATGAAATTTTGTCTGATAAATGATTTTAGAATCATGAAATGTCAGAAGCTTAATGTATTGATATGATGAAATCAAGGAGAAATTTTTGCACCATGGTGATTTCTATGACCCATGGGCCTCTTATTATTTTTTTTTTTCCACATCCATCTCTAGAAAAATAGATAAATCAATGAAGACTAGAGATTTTTATAAACGCTATGCCATCAAACACATGTTGATACAAATGAATGTTTATATTAAACCTTGTAATTTCAGTGTGGAAAACCGTACATCAGAGAGGGACTAGAGTTTGTAACGTGCAAAGTTCGTGGCCAAAGTTTCATGCTTCATCACATCAGAAAAATGATAGGTAGTTACATTAAATATTGTAAAATTAAAAACAGTTTAATACATGAACATATTTTCAGCAAAACTCCCATTTACTGTCTTGCTCAATAATTGTCCAAATAAACAACACATAGTGTGAGCAGAGCAAACACAGACCTCTGAAAACATCAGAGGTGGGATCAGGTGCCATGGGGGAGAAGGCGTCCCCTGTTAACTGGTCACATCTGCCATATTGTAATGCCCCTTATCATGATCCAGTAAATGGAGAAATCTGTAGACAATTCAGTAATGGCCTAACAATTTGTATGAAAGATTTGAGTCAACATTTGACCAAACGACAGATTGTATTTACAAATGTATTTGCAAAATGTTGACTTTTAACAAGATTCTTAATACCTTTGTATCATCAACTTATTTGTCACTAAGTATAGAAAATTACACCTAAACATGATGGCTGACTTTTTCATCTTCCTTTGTACCATAATATTTTAAAAGTAAAGGGTTATAGAATTCTACAATGTAATGGGACACACCTTGTACAATAAATTCTCTGCTTTTAGGACTGATGATTGCTATAGTAAAAGGTTGCTGCAAGGAAGATGTGCTTCAATTGGCATGGGGTCCAGAAAAGGTGAGACTAATTGCAGATTTCCTCTACTGCCAGGAATCTATGCCTGTTTGGCATTATGTTAAATGGCTGTTTAACGATTTCTGGCTTTAATTACTTTTTTAGTTTTCTGTAAACAAGAGTAGCTACTGAACTTTCTTTGATCAAAGTTTTTCTTTCACTAAATTACATGTACCGGTATTAGTTTATAGCTGGTTGTCATCTGAAAACTTTAAGTCCTCGAGAATTACTGTATCACAGGTCTACTTTCAACCTAGCTTTGCTCAAAGCATCCTTTGGTAAAAGGGATTCAGATTTATTATATTGAAAGACTCTTTCTAGGGAGAAAATCATGGAAATAGTAAAATTATGGATGATGGGCAACTTACATATGAACCATAGTATATAAGGAAATTATCTGAAATTTCTCTCTCCAAAGTAGCAGGACCACAAGAAGTTGAATTTAAATACAAGCATCCTCCCTGACTGATATGGAATACAGTGTAAAACATGGTCTTCTATAAATAGCATGAGTTTATACAAAATAATCACTTTCTGTACTGTTTTCTACTCAGTCTGTATAAGGATATATATTTAACATGTCAAAAATCTTGAACAATGTATCTTAAACCTTTAGAGGTTACTGATGGTTATAGTATGAATTCCAATATTGCAAATATGCAGTGTCATATTATGACTCTTACATTGCATTTGATACCTCTCTCTCTCTCATGTACATATTTTGTATATATGTTTCTGAAAGCATTGCCTACAAATATTTTCAAAAGAGATGTTAAATCCAGATTGGCCTTGCTGCTTATGGTGTTTATGTAATAAAATCATTAAACTTTAAAATTGCATTGATAATTCTATGTTTTTGAACATTTAATTACAAGAAGGAGGCAATGTGGGCATATTATGGTATTTTCATCTCAAAAACAAAGAGTGTGTTGGTTTGTTTCGTAATGCAGTGTTTATTACATCACAGTATGTGTTAGATTGTCTGGATATTTCCTGTCAACAGGGGGTATTGAACTAGATATCAAGAATTAGATGTTGTATAAGTTAACAAACTGATGAAAATAACATCCTGTTTTTGTTTTGTTTAACTTGGAACTGTTAAATATGCTGTAATGAACTGAATACAGTCTTGTTTTATGACAATATACGAAACCCCTCTACATGACCTAGATACTAAGAATAAATAGATTAATGGCATTGGGCTCCACAAAGTGGATTTCATATTTCACATTTTACACCCTGAAAGTGATTCATATTATCAAAAATTATTATACAGTAAACCTTGTCAAATCCTGATACCACTGGTTCAACAGAAATTGGCTGTATTGCAATTCTGGATTAGACGTGTAAAGCAATTTTATTTCTTAATAGGAACTTAAAGTTTACATCATATTAGACAAGAATTTGGAATACACAACATTCAGATTTGACAAATTTTACTGTATCTGATTAAGATGTTCTAATTACGTATTAACATAAATGAATTAAAAAAATATTTATGAGAATAAGAGATGTTTGCATGTTCACATGTATATACAGATGTGTGAATTATAAAATATGACCTATTATGTATTAAAAATAACATTTTTCTTACTAGCAGTATGTATGCCTATTCTAATTGTTTTACATTTATTTTCATCATGCAGGTAGATGTTCCCAAGGCCCCAGGATTAGGTTTGCTGCTAGATGAGGTAACAAATATTAGATTCTCCCAATTCTATAATGTAAGTCAGGTCACAGATATAAGAATCTCCTAATTCTATAATGTCAATCAGATAAAAGAATGTCCTAATTCTATAATGTCAATCAGGTAACAGAGAAAAGAATGTCCTAATTCTATAATGTCAATCATGTATCAGATATAAGAATCTCCCAATTCTATAATGTCAATCAGGTCACAGATATAAGAATCTCCTAATTCTATAATGTCAATCATGTAACAGATATAAGAATCTCCTAATTTTATAATGTCAATCAGATATAAGAATCTCCTAATTCTATAATGTCAATCATGTAACAGATATAAGAATCTCCTAATTCTATAATGTCAATCAGGTCACAGATATAAGAATCTTTTAGTTCTCTAATGTCAATCAGGTAACAGATATAAGAATCTCCTAATTCTCTAATGTCAATCATGTATCAGATATAAGAATCTCCTAATTCTATAATGTCAATCAGGTCACAGATATAAGAATCTCCTAATTCTATAATGTCAATCATGTAACAGATATAAGAATCTCCTAATTTTATAATGTCAATCAGATATAAGAATCTCCTAATTCTCTAATGTCAATCATGTAACAGATATAAGAATCTCCTAATTCTATAATGTCAATCAGATAAAAGAATGTCCTAATTCTATAATGTCAATCAGATATAAGAATCTCCTAATTCTATAATGTCAGTTATGTAACAGATATAAGAATCTCCTAATTCTATAATGTCAATCATGTAACAGATATAACAATCTCCTAATTCTATAATGTCAATCAGGTCACAGATATAAGAATCTCCTAATTCTATAATGTCAATCAATAACAGATATAAGAATCTCCTAATTCTATAATGTCAATCAATAACAGATATAAGAATCTCCTAATTTTATAAGTCAATCAGGTAATAGATATAAGAATCTCCTAATTCTATAATGTCAATCAGGTCACAGATGTAAGAATCTCCTAATTCTATTATGTCAATCAATAACAGCTATAAGAATGTCCTAATTCTATAATGTCAATCAGGTAACAGATATAATACTCTCCTAATTCTATAATGTCAATCAGATAAAAGAATGTCCTAATTCTATAATGTCAATCAGATATAAGAATCTCCTAATTCTATAATGTCAATCATGTAACAGATATAAGAATCTCCTAATTCTATAATGTCAATCAGGTCACAGATATAAGAATCTCCTAATTCTATAATGTCAATAAGATAAAAGAATGTCCTAATTCTATAATGTCAATCAGGTAACAGATATAATACTCTCCTAATTCTATAATGTCAATCAGGTCACAGATATAAGAATCTCCTAATTCTATACTGTCAATCAGGTCACAGATATAAGAATCTCCTAATTCTATAATGTCAATCAATAACAGATATAAGAATCTCCTAATTCTATAATGTCAATCAGGTAACAGATATAAGAATGTCCTAATTCTATAATGTCAATCAGGTAACAGATGTAAGAATCTCCTAATTCTATAATGTCAATCAATTACAGATATAAGAATCTCCTAATTCTATTATGTCAATCAATAACAGCTATAATAATCTCCTAATTCTATAATGTCAATCAGATATAAGAATCTCCTAATTCTATAATGTCAATCAATAACAGCTATAATAATCTCCTAATTCTATAATGTCAATCAGATATAAGAATCTCCTAATTCTATAATGTCAGTTATGTAACAGACATTAGAATCTCCTAATTCTATAATGTCAATCAGGTCACAGATATAAGAATCTCCTAATTCTATAATGTCAATCAGGTAACAGATATAAGAATCTCCTAATTTTATAATGTCAATCAGGTAACAGATATAAGAATCTCCTAATTCTATAATGTCAATCAGGTCACAGATATAAGAATCTCTTAATTCTATAATGTCAATCAGGTCACAGATATAAGAATCTCCTAATTCTATAATGTCAATCAGTAACAGATATAAGAATCTCCTAATTCTATTATGTCAATCAGGTCACAGATATAAGAATCTCCTAATTCTATAGTGTCAGTCATGTAACAGATATAAGAATCTCCTAATTTTATAATGTCAATCAGGTCACAGAGATAAGATCTCCTAATTCTATAATGTCAATCAGGTCACAGATATAAGAATCTCCTAATTCTATAATGTCAATCAGGTAACAGATATAAGAATCTCCTAATTTTATAATGTCAATCAGGTAACAGATATAAGAATCTCCTAATTCTATAATGTCAATCAGGTAACAGATATAAGAATCTCCTAATTCTATAATGTCAATCAGGTCACAGATATAAGAATCTCCTAATTCTATAATGTCAATCAATAACAGATATAAGAATCTCCTAATTCTATAATGTCAATTATAGTGGTCAGGTGGGGGTGTCTCTTGTATAAAGATATTAATAAAATTTTTAGTCTTGAACTGATTATTGCTTTTTTTAAGTGCTCAGAGGAGCAATGTAGCCCATGGGCATCTTGTTTCTCTATGTCGACAAATGCATGAACTATAATAATAGTGTCCAAATAAACAGCTGACCTCTTTGAGATTTATTTATGTGTTAAATATTGCTATAGCCAGCGACACATGCATTCCTTAGAACACGCTAGTTTAATGCATTTGAAAATCTATCTCTGTGGCAAGTTGAAAAGTTGTTTTGTCTGAACTGTTATAACTATCTTCATTTAACTGCATTATTGAAAAGTAAAGGGTAACTGTAAAAGACAGTTATGTAAAAACTGTTTTGTCTGGAAAAATTCTATAACAGTTTTTATATAACTCAATGATTATGCTTCTTTTTAGATTTTAATAACACCCACTGATTTTATCTTGGAAATAAAAGTGTATCTTCAATGTTAGGAACATTTGGATATCTCATTATGTATACATGGTTTTAATTGGAAACATTTTTAAAATATAGCTTACAAAATCAGAAGTGTAATTAATGATTTGAAGAAATGACTTTTCCTATGTTTGCTTAAAATTTGAAATACTTTTAATGAGTGTGTTAAGAATTTTCTAGCTTACTTGTGAAGTAAGATTTACATAAGTCTCTAATTTCTATTTAAGCATTGATTCATTATTTTTTGAAATCTTTGAATTTTTGAAGTCTCATAACTGCAACAATGTGTGCAAACAAATTGAATAACGCATGTTAGCGCATTTTGAAAAATTTGTTTGTACACACCGTTGCAATTATGAGACCATATCTTTCAAAAAATAATGATTCAATGCTTATATTTACATTTTATAACTCCTTGCCTTGACTGCAAATGTGATTTATATTTCAAAATCCCTGTATTATCCTTTGGGTAAGTTACAATTAATAGAAGAGCCATTGCAACAGCTTCTGTTCAATGTGAGCGTGAATTTTGATTTTCGCTTATGACGTTGCAATTCCACGGTGTTCAGTGTTTATGACATCAAAATAAAATGCATACCTTAACCTTTTTACCCCTGTCCGTGTTTCGGTGTTTTGAATGCTGTAGCTTACAACACACTCTATAAGCAAAATATGTGTGTAATGTGAATATTTTGATGTGTCAGTTTTCCTGAGATAAGCTAAGATTGATAATTTCAGTTGTACTTTGACGGTTACAATAAGAAGTGGGGAAGAGATGGACTACATGAGCCAGTAGAATGGACTCAGTATGAGGTAAGTCAAACTCAACAAGCCAAAATAGAAGTTTTTCTTCTTTTATTTTCTTACCAGAAATGGAGATAAAAAGAAATTCAAATGTTCTTAATCAAGAATTAATTAGACTATCCTTGAAAAATATTCTTTTTTTCTGACGCCAAGTGTAGAATTTCATATGATATATTTAATTTGGTTTATCCGAACACGTGTGACACGTGACAATTATGCTCACAAGTGGTATTTAGATTGTGATAGCTCAAACGTCCATTTAACTGGACAAATGTTAATGACGCACATATATCGCTAAACAATAAAGGTTACATTTTGTGAAAGTACAAAATGACATATCTGTTTGTTGATGATGATAAAAAAAAATTTAAATTTAATTTCAATTATCATTAAATTTAATACTTTGTGGGTCCACATTCTCTGCATACTGATTTTAAAACTTTTCAATATTGGAGAAAAAGAGTCAAATTGCTCCTTTACTTGTTACCAATATCTTTCTTCTGTGTTTCATACTTTTAGCTCACCTGAACCAATGGCTCAGGTGAGCTTTTCTGATAGAAATTTATCCATTGTCTCTCATTGTTGTTCTCATCATTGTTGTTGTCGTAAACTTTTCATAATGTGGTCTTGTTCATCAGAATCACTACACCAATTTCAACCAAACTTGGTACAGAGCATCCTTGAGTAATGGGAATTTAAGTCTGTACATATAAAAAATGTCACACCTTTCAGAGGGGAGATAATCAAGAATTAGTGAAAATTTAGTGGCATCTTTTTAAAAATTTTCTTCTTAAAAACCACTGGACCAGAAAAGATGAAACTTAAAGTGAAAGCTTCACTATAGTTTACATTCAAGTTTGTTCACATCATGACCCCTGGAGCTTATTAATCATATTAATACAGAAGCATCCTCACCCAGTGTAGATTCATGTTTGTTTAGATCATGTCCCCCGCGGGTAGGGTGAAACACAATAGCAGATAAAACGTATAAATTTGTAAAAAAAAAAATAAAAAAAAAACTATGGAAGCATCCTCAGTTAGTGTAGATTTCAGTTTGTTCAAATCATATCCCACACTATACCACCCGAATTCCCCACCCTGGGGTATGTTGGGGCCAATTATATATTTAACTTTTCAATACTTAACTGATTTCTGCTTTTTCCTAACCAAAGTGCTCAGGTGATCAATGTGGCCCATGGGCCTCTCGTTTTATATGATTTTTTTTCTGTTAATAAATTAAATATTTAATGTAAATAATTACCCGGAGAGTTGACTTTGCAGACAGATGTTGCTATAAATTTTAAATAAAAGGTACACGTGATGTAGACACGCATGGCGATTTCACATATAAACTTGTACGTGTTAATATTATAAGTATTGTGATTTCTTCTTGGTTTCCATGTGCATATACATGTGAATAAAATAACTTCATATAACAATTGTGACATTTGATAATACATTCAAGGACTTGCAGCTTTATCCAATCAAAATAAGATTTAAAAAAAAAACGTGGACGTGTAGTATTGGTAAATTAAATGATTTTTTGCAAGATTTTCAACGTAACAAATCAGGAAATGCTCGAGTATGTTTTTAAGATATCAGTTTTCAATCGTCATGTGCATTACATGCATACATCAATATTTACATTTGCAAATGTTTTCTTTTATATAACACTATTAAAAGCAACGCGTATCTATTTAAGAAATGAATAAAATTTTGAAGATTCACGAGGACATGCGTTGGCGCTTCATGATAAATATGCCGGCGTGAAGCGCTGTAGTTCATGTACCTCATGAATTTTTAGAAATTAAGTTTATTTCGTATATTTACATTATTTTCTGATGAGTTACCACAAATTACAATATTCAACTGTCATTTTTAAAGCAAAACAATTTGCACTCTAGTTTTGACGTTAAGTACGGTATTATGACGTAACAATGGAGATATTCATGCTCATCCATGGTAGTTCATGAGAAAATAAACAGTCTTCTAATTTGCAAAGAATCTTAAGGAAAAATATTTGGAAATGTTTAAGGGGGCCGACTGGGGTTTTCATTGCGCAATACTTCACGCAGCATAGTAAAAGAAAGCGTATTTACCCTTTTAAATCAACTATTTTTACATAACTTATAAAAATTAACAAATTTAGGAAATCTCAGGTTAAAATATCTAATTAAGTTTTTAAATTACTGATTTTTTAAACGATTTTTCAAATGATGGATAGATAGACGTCGTAATAGTGTGTTTTTGACGTTATGAATAGCCGAAGTTCTTGAAGCGGGGTCATTAATTATGCCATAGAATAGAAAATATAAAATACATGCTCTTGAAATTTTTAACATAGGAAATTGAGAATCTAACAATCATTTTTATCATTTTTTTATGTCAGTCTGTGGTATCTGTCATGTTTTGTTGTACTCCATAAAAACAGGAAAATATCATGAATTTTGACATTTTGAGATGCCCCCTCTGGAAACCAGACGGTAAAATTTTGTGTTTCTTGCACAAAATGAACAATATAATATTACCCAGCAAATAATATAATTTGAGCAAAAAGTCTATAGTAGCATTGGTATAATCTGCTCAGAAGTGCGAAAAATGGTATTTTCCTATATAATCCTATAGTAAATGTACCTGTATTTTGAGATGGTCCCTAAAAAATAACCAGACGGTAGATTTTCACTAAACTTGGTATGTATACTGAATTCAATGTAAGGTACATATGGTATGAAATTAAAGAGTTTCTCTATAGTAGTTTCCACACAATAAAACCCCAGTCGGCTCCCTTAAATATATCAGTATAAACACGGGTTCCTCGCGTCATAAACGTTCGACGTAATTTCTCAGTGACGTCATAAAGGATTGACGTACAATTAATGGATCAAATACGTGCTGTTGAGTTTGAAAAATAAAACATTTCACGGGTTAAAGATTATAATCAGGAAAATATAAAATATGAATAAGTCATAAATGTAAATATAAGTAATAATGTATCATTTTTAAACATCTATCGGGATATAAATACGGGTTGGGACGAGATCAAATTTACCATAAAGCCCTTCTGGCTTTATGGAATTTGATCTCGTGACCAACCCGTATATATATCCCGATAGATGTTTAAAAATGATACATTATTTCTTAATGACATTCCTTCAACAACCATTCATACGTATTATAACATAGCATCTGGTGAGAGCTGTATAATTAAGGCCTTTGTGGATTTGTTTATGTGTTTGCATGAACACATTATACATGTATGTATTTGGTATGGTTTATTGTCAACACTATCGCACATTAGGTCATTTTCATACGAATTGATATTAACTTTGATCCTATTTAAACATCATTTAAGAAAGCACAAAATACCTTGCTGTAAAATCTTTCAAATTACTCCGCCTGTTTAAGGTAAACGATGTACTCTGTTCTTCTAGAATACGAAAATGGGGCAATAGAAACAAAAAGTAGAAATTCAAGTTGGTTCAAATACATTAATCTGTATTTTTTCAATGCCGATTCAATAGTTCTCCGTATATCTCATGCAAAATATGTAAATTTCATTGATTTTGTTTGAAATAATTACGACTTTTTTTGCTAGGTACTGGAATAATTTGTATTTGTTCATAGCTAGATTAACTAGATATAATAAAATATTGAAATATTTTGAATGTTTGTAAATGCACTATATATGTTGTAGGCCATGTCGTATACGAAGTGCGCTACACCTCTGTTGAAAAAAAATAAAATAGGGACATGGCTAGAGGGTTAGAAAGTGCTGTGTGTTTATCAAACCTTTCAAATTCTTGCGTCTTGATCATATCTCTGTATTTTAAATTTCGATTGCTAAATAAGTAATTGAATAATCTTTCTTTAGTAGTTACGTCTTTGTTGGTATGCTGTCAAAACAGAGGAAAGAGACACCAGAGCACACATGCACACATGTACAAGGAATGATCAAAAAGTTCGTGAACTAATTGAATTACTTCCTTAAAAAAAAATAAAATGAGGTTTCAGTGTTCATTATTTTTTAAAGTAGTCCTCTCCGATTTTAATGCACATCTGCCATTGTTCTGCCCATGCGCGAATCACGTGATCCAGGCAGTCACGTGACATGCTCCGTAGCAGTCTGTTCACAGAAGCTGAAAGATTTTTCCGAGTCTTATATTTCTTACCATGCAAGTTATTTTTTATAACAAGAATAGTCCATCTGTCAGAAATGACCAAATCTCGGCAATAGGATAGGTGGATAAGGATATCCCTTCCCACAATTAGTATGGTGACCCATCACAACCCGAGTCCTCTGTCTCGGGAGCGTCGTTTATCCAATGTGGATAAAGTATGGGCGCTTTCTTTTTATCATATCTCATGTGTTTAAAGTCTAAAGTAAACGATATTTTAGGGATTTAATAATTATATTATTGTTAAGATATTCAACCATTTTTCTAATTGTAACTTGACGATGTTTCATAACAAATTGCTCAACTAGGGACATATCTTTTTCCGGCTTGCTTTCGCTGGGCAACAGAACAAACATCATTTTTAACCAACTCCCTGTCTTCACTTAAACAATCAATCCAATTTATGATTGAACTTCTGGTAAGTCTTTTGTCTTCATAAACCTTGTACAAATTATCATATTCTACTGCAAAGGAATTTCCAAGATATACGTTAAACTTTACAGCCGTTCGTTGCTCGAGTACGACCGAGTCAACCATTTTTTGTCACAAGTGACCTACATATTGACGTCATTTTCACATTTTGACGTCACAAACAAGGAGCAAAACATTATTCAACATCTGTTATTTATAGAACATGCGTATGACTATATGTGTGCCAAATTTCATTCTGATCTGAATTGTGGTTTTGTAAATATAGAGATAGTTCGCGAACTTTTTGATCACCCCTCGTACATACACATTCAGGTCTCATAAGAAATATATAGATGATCCTTATTCCTTTTTGTTTTAAGTTGCTAGTTTGTAATTTTACAGTTGAAAAATGATATCAATTCTAATTATACCTTTATGCTTTCAGGAAGAACTAGAGAAATTCAAAGAGGAATATATACTGCCAGAAATTTACAAAGGAGAGAAAAATGATAAAGTGTATCCTTTTTATTTACTACATCTTTAATATTTTACTGATCATCGCACAACGTATGCTGAAAACAGTTTTGAGTTGTTTATATCTCATACCTTAGACATCTTTAATGCTAATTAGGCTTGCAAACAAGTTGATGAAACAAGGATGTCAACACGCTCGTTTAAAGTCAACATTTGGCAAGCTCTATGGTCGATACATTGATTAGTCAGAAAATACAATCTATCATTAAGTCGAATGCTGACTGATTTTTTTTTCATACAAATTGTAAAGCCATTATTTATACACTGAATTGTCACGGACTTTTCCGTTTTCCCGATCATGACAATGAGCACACGGCGGGTGTGACCAGTCGAGAAGGGATGCTCACTCCTCCATGGCACCTGACCCCACCTCTGAGGTTTTTAGAGGTCCGTATTTTCTCCAAATTTGTATTGCTTCAATGGACTTTTGAGCTTGATTACTATTCGTTTTCTTTATATTTGATTACAAGGGAGAACCATTAATAAACTTGTTAATTTACTACACAACCGTCACGTACTTCAGTCGGTAGAGCGCTCGCTCCGTGATCGGAAAGTCGTGTGTTCAAACTCTGGCTGCGATTGATCTAAGTCGACAAAAATAGGTAGCAACTGTTCCTTCATCAAGCGCTCGTCTCTTTGAAGTGAAAGTTGCGCGTCTTTCGCATGAGACCTAAAAATGAGGGCCCATGTCATGGCAGGCGTTGCTAAGACAACGATCCCTCACTGTTCATTTGCCCTAAGTGCCGAATAAAGGTTTAAATTTGAAGCCCTTCACCAGTATTTGTTGATCTAGTGAAAAATTCTTGAAAGGTACTTAAAACAACATACAATAAATCAATCAAACTTAAGTACACTAATTGCTGGATTGTATTCAATCGAGAGGTAAAAATAACAAATGAATAACAAATATTTAAATTGTTTCTTTACATAATGCACTGACTATGTGATAATTTTTAGCTCACCTCAACGAAGTTGGGGGAGCTTATGTAATACCCTCGGCGTCGATGTCGGCGTCGGCGTCCCAGGTTAAGGTTTTTGGAGCAGTTTTCTTTTCAAGTACTTCTATGGCCTATATTAGTCAGAGATGCATGGAGGATGCTTCTAGTGTGTTTCATTGTACCAGTCAAGGTTTCAGATGCTGCAATAACAGCTAAAGAATGACCAGGTTCAAGTTTTTGGAGCAGGTCTCATTTCCAAGTAACTATAAGCCCTATTTTGACCAAACTTGCATGGATGATACATCTAAGGATGCACACTACTGGACTTGCTTCAGATGCTGAATCTGACCTATATTTTCCGGATGAGTGACCAGGTTAAAGTTTTTGGAGCAGATGTCATTTCCAAGTATCTATAAACCCTATATTGACCAAACTTGCATGGATGATAAATCTAAGGATGTACTCCACTGGACTTGCTTCAGATGCTGAATCTGACCTATATTTTCCGGATGAGTGACCAGGTTAAAGTTTTTGGAGCAGATGTCATTTCCAAGTATCTATAAACCCTATATTGACCAAACTTGCATGGATGATAAATCTAAGGATGTACTCCACTGGACTTGCTTCGGATTCTGGATCTGACCTATATTTTCCGGATGAGTAACCAGGTTAAAGCTTTTGGAGCAGATCTCATTTCCAAGTAACTATTCGCCCTATATTGACCAAACTTGCATGGATGATACATTTAAGGATGCACACTACTAGACTGATGCTGGATCTGACCTATATATTTGGATGAGTGAGCAGGTTAAGGTTTTTGGAGCAGATCTCATTTCCAAGGAACTAAAAGCCCTATATTGACCAAACTTGCATGGATGATACATCTAAGGATGCACACTACTGGACCTGCTTCGGATGCTGAATCTGACCTATATTTTCCAGATGAGTAACCAGGTTAAAGTTTTTGGAGCAGATGTCATTTCCAAGTATCTATAAACCCTATATTGACCAAACTTGCATGGATGATAAATCTAAGGATGTACACCACTGAACTTGCTTCGGATGCTGGATCTGACCTATATTTTCCGGATGAGTAACCAGGTTAAAGTTTTTGGAGCAGATCTCATTTCCAAGTAACTATAAGGCCTATCTGAACCAAACTTGCATGGATGATGCATCAAGGGACGAACAATCTCAAAACTTGCTTCGGATGCTGGATTTGAATTACATTTTGTGGATGAGTGACTAGTTTAAAGTTTTCAGATAAGTCTATTCCCAAGTAACTGCAAGCCCTATCAGACCAAAATTGCATAAATGTTGCATCTAGGGATGCACACTCCTAGATTATTAGTTTAGTGTGGGACTTTGCCTTACTTAAAGACAACATTCGTTGAGGTGAGCTCTGTAATCTCTGATTACCTATGTTTTACATAATGTACTGACTATGTGATATTTTCCTGACTTTGATGAAGTATGTGGGAGTGGCTGAAGACTCTACACATGCATAGTTTTGATGTAGAAAGCAACAACCGGAGACACAGAAATCAGGTGAGACATCTGCCATGAATGGAAAGAATTTGTATTCAAGCAAAGATTAGAATGGGTGCTTTTAGAAGATAAAATAAATTTTCAGATTATTCTTATTAAATTCGTTTTATTAATCTCAGTAATGTAAGATCTCTCTTTTTTAACTCTCTCTCTCTCTCTCTCTCTATATGTTATTCAATAAATAGGATCCATATTCCATGAGCAGTAATAATGGAACAGATGGTTTACAGAAAAATGAACAACAGGCAAATGTAAACCAAATTAAAATGTCAGAAGAACACCAGGAGGGTATTGTGGATATGAACAGAGAACAGTGTGAGGAACCAAACTTACAGGAGCATGTAGAGAATGATTCAGATGGTGAAATTAAACAGAAACAGGATTTAGTGACAACCGGATGAGAAAGAAGAGTTTAGATTCAATAAAAATGTACAAACACTCCGTACTTCATTGTGAGTTTTCAAATGATATTGCATTTTGTGTATGCTATTCCTGAAGTAAACTAAAAACGAAAAGGGAAACACACAAAGGGAAGGAAAATAAACAATACATAACAAAAACAATAATTTACAAAATCTATTAAAACGATACCTTCTTGAACATCGTTATCATTCATGTAATGTATGATATTTAAGAACTAGAATAGAAGTCCCTGCACAATGCAATACCCTCCCTGCTTTAGGGAGCATGGGTCTAAATTTGCCATCTCATCCAATGACTTCTCGATTGTCACTGTTATATTAAGATCAATACAATTGAAAATAATCATTTTACATTCAAACGTCATTTAGTAATACTTCAGTACATAAAACTTTATTTTAAAAATACTAGTATTGTATCCGTAAAACAAATTCAAAAATATTATAAGCATTAACTCAAAACTTGAATTAGATGTAATTTGTTTTGAAAGGCAGTGTATTCAAATTGTATAGAACGTAATACGGGAATTAATGTCTTAACAAACGCTGAAACTCTAAATGCAGAGAGCCACAATCTTTTAATTGGCTAGAGAACTTAATTTCTACCATAAATTCAGTCGAAGATTATACCAGACTTTGGGCTAAATTTGAAGAATACCTGAACACTTTGTCAGAAATTTACAGTCGTGTTAGAAAGTTAAAAGGCAATAGCGAACCATCTATCCCTCCGTTTTCACTAAATCGAGGTGATAAAAGAATTAAAAAGACTACATAATTAAACGACATGTATTGTTCCAGCGAAAAAAAAAACAGATTTGTCGTTGTTTTTAAGGCTGATTATCAAAAGTGTATTTTTGAAGAACTTGGTTGTAATTCTACATCTGGAAATCCAATTTATACTCACAGTTCACTTTCTAAGGTTGAAATTCTTCAAACTGCAAGCTGTAAAGGAGAAACGAATGACTTAAGGTGCTACAGCATATTCTAGAAGTGGTATAAATCAAGTGTTTGAAATTTTAAAATCACGAAATTTTTCTGACGTCATTAACATCAAAACGTTCGACTTTTCTACACTTCATACAACCATTCCTCATGATATCATATCTATCTGAATTTCTAGGGGTACCATAGATTCGTTATTAGCAGATCTATTTTTGTATTCATATGAAGCAGAATTTATTCAAAAACATATATTAGAAGATAAAGACACTTGTACAATTTCTAAAACGAGGTAAATTATTGACAAATAAGTTGATGAAACAAGAATATCAGCCGTCTCGTTTAAAGTCATCATTTCGTAAGTTCTATGGTCGATACAATGACCTTGTCAGCAAATACAATTTATCATTGAGCCAAATGCTGACTGACGGTTTTTCATACTGGTTGTTAGGCCATTATTTACACACTGAATTGTCGACGGATTTTTCCGTTATTTCCCGATCATGACAAGGAGCACACGGCGGGTGTGACCGGTCGGCAGGGGATGCTCACTCCTCCATGGCACCTGATCCCACCTCTGATGTTTGGAGGTCCGTGATTGCTCTGCTCCTATTTTGTATTGTATAATGGACTTTTGAGCTTGAATACTGTTCGTTATCTCCATATATTTCATTGCTATGGCCTTCAACTCGACATTTAGATATATCGACGACGTATTATCAATTAACAATAGATACTTAAATTCATATATCAACTTGATATATCCCAGTAAACTTGAAATAAAAGACACCACAGAGTCCGACACATATGTTTCATATTTGGATATTTTACTAGAAAAAGTGATTATGGTAACCAAATAACCTAAATTTATGATAAACATGATGACTTCAACTTTTCTATCGTCAACTTCCCTAATCTATTTAGCAATATACCCTTATCACCTGCATATGGGGTTTATAATATCTCCCAGTTGATTCGATACGCAATAGCATGCTCCACGTAAGAATAATTTCATTTCTAAAACAAGGCAAGCTATTGACAAACAAGTTGATGAAAAAAGGATATCAACAGTCTCGTTTACAGTCATCACTTCGCAATTACGTTCTATGGTCGATGCAATGACCTTGTCAGCAAATACAATCTATCATCAAGTCCTATGCTGACTGAATTTGTTACGGATTTCTCTGTTTGCCCGATCATGCTTTCTCACAACTGCTTTCTCAATGAAAATGGAACTCGAAAATTTTCAAATATTTTGATTGCTCATCAACAAAATTACTTTGCTAAAAAAATCTTTCCGACATACATGTACTCTGAGGGATTTAAAGGATGCTGGAGGTCCTCATTTATAACGTTTATGTAGTCTTTCGAGAACAGATCTTCCAACAATTTGTTGGAATTTCGATGGGCACTAATTTTGCTCCTTATTCCCTTGCAAAAATTTACGATAGTTAACTATAGTTTTATTATAGTTAACTATAATGAAAACTTTGATACTTTGATTTACTTTCAAACTTTACTCAGGAACTTTTTATTGAGATTTCAAAGCTTAAAATTGCTTAAATTCGATAACACTTATGTAAAATTTGGAATTAATAGGTGAATATGCAAATTACACTTCGATTTAATATTAAAAAAAATGTGCATGTGTGAATTGAAAAACAAAAAGATATAACAATCTGAAATCCATTGTAAAAATACTTTGATTTACTATAGTAAAAAAAAACTTTGATACTATAGTAAACTACAGTTAACTATAGTATTTTTTGTTAGGGTTAGCCGACCTGTTTTTATATTTCTATGAAGCATATCTATTCAAAAACCTTTACATGAAAAGAAAAAGAATGCACTTGCTGAAAAGAAAAAGAATACACTTGCTGTGGCCTTCAACTCGACGTTTAGATATATTACAGACGACGCTTAATCAATTAACAATAGTTATTTCCGTAAATATGTTGCCTCGATATATCCCAGTGTACTCCACTGAGTCTGACACATCTGTTTCATATTTGGATGTTTTACTGACTATAGATGATAATGGCCAACTAACAACTAAATTGTATGACGAACGAGATCAGCTTTTCCATCGTCAACTTCCCTTATTTTTGTAGTAATATTCTGCTATCACTTGCATGTGGTGTTTACATCTCCCAACCCCCAGCATACTCTGAGTGCAATCAATTTATAAACCGAGGCAGGTTACTAACATAAGTTGATTTTATGTACAGGGATTTCAACAACCTCGTTTCAAGTCAGCATTTCGTAAATTCTATGGTACATTATAATGACCTTTTTAGCAAGTATGGCCTATCATTGAGTCGAATTTGGGCTTACTTGTTTCATACAACTTGTTAGGCCTTTATTTTTATACGGAATTTGACTACGGAATGTTCCGTTTAACTGATGAATACATAGGGCTCACGGCGGGTTTGACCGATCAACAGGGATGCTTACGCCTCTTAGGCACCTGGTCCCGCCTCTGGAAGTTTCTGGGGATCCGTCTTAATGTCCTTTTCACAGATTTCCATTTTTCTATGATGTGTTACTATTTGATGATTCATTAGTATGAGAATTTGCCTCGGGTACAAATGACAATCGCTGGAGTGATCCACTCCGGTGTGTAATTTTTAATTAACATCTTATTTCAGTCTTACTCATATCTGTCTGTGAATCGGTATTTTGACTCTGATTTATAAATGAATCTTCGTTTTAAGGCTAGTGCTACAACTTACGAACCTATCTATTATATAAATCGTTGACCAGTCTACACTCTACAGTACTTGGAATGGAAAAAGAAGAGTCTGTAGTGATTATTGACAGATCCGTACTTGAAGTGGAGTGGAAAGAGAGGACATAATGAACGGTGACAGATCAGTTTTCTTTTCAGAGTGCCCGGATATTAAAGTCTCTTTGAAGATACATATCTATTACGATGTTATATTCCCCACACTAAACAGTAAATTGTTCCATCACGTGTAAGTATTACCACGTGTACGATGGTTTTAAGTTAAGAAATATGTAGCGAAGCAACACTAGTTCTTTTTCTCACGTGTAAAGTTACCCACTAAAATTATGTCGCCTCTATGAAACCAGGGTGACATGTTTTTTTTTAATTGCTTTACTAAAAGTTTTGTCCAGAGGCGTTCCTGCACAGAAGGTTTGGCCATTTTATGAAACTTGAGTTATATATATATATATATATATATATATATATATATATATATATATATATATATATATATATATATATATGGTCATTGGGAATGAAATTGGGATACAGTTATTTGGACATTAGTTTTGTAAGAGGATCGTTACCGACACACATTGTAAATGAATTAATTTTATTTATACAGCATATTTTTACAACAACTCTTAAACGAACATAACTGCCCAAATTGAAGAAATATTAATATAGAAAGCACAAAGAAATTCACTTTTCTAAGGATACCCACTTCCGCCCCAACCCGGGGTTGAACTCTCGACCTTCGGAATCTTCTCCTAGCAGTACAGGAACAGCGCGCTAGACCATCTAGGCAAGTCAAAAAATTGCTTTCGATGGCGATGGAATTCTCGCGGCGCTGAAGAATATAAACATTGTATAAAAATATATACGTAATAAACAACAACATTGTTGTGTCTTAATTAAAGTAAATTGCTAACATCCAAACCAATGTATGCTATCTATTTTATCTCTGTGAAAGCAGGGCAAAGCAGGTGAGCTTTCTAGCCCATTGGCGACATTTTACATAAGATTGATAAGAACTTTGCTTACGCTAACGAGATCTTTATTTTGAAGATTCTACATTTTTCCTACATTTTCTATATATTAAAACATTGAACACATTACGATTACCTTGACTGCGCATTATTTCTGCGTCATATTAAATATTTAGCTGGAAAAAGCTATATTTTGCCTGACCAGGATATCGTTATCTTTTTTTATTTTCTCTTCCTTGTTGTATGAATAATTACGTGGGTTTATTCGTGGATTTCCTTTAATGGTTACATCAATGTAGACGAATTATTCTATCATGACATTATCAGAAGTCGTTTCAAGTTAACAATTAAAAATAAAGAAGCAACCCTG